TTTTTTTTTAAGGTAAAGCCAGAAATTCTTTTTATAAATTCAAATACTCATGTTTCCATTTTAAAACAGTATGGGATTCAGGAGCATATAACCTGGCTATCAAAAGTCCTGATTTCCAATCCCATAGTTGTTTTATTATTTTAGTACAGAATTGAGAGGATTCCATTAGATGATTTCTAGTATATTTTTACTTCTAAAACTTCAGGATTCCAATTTCAATTTTTTAGGGACTGAGTTTGTTCAAAATAAAGGAGGATTGAGACACAGTAGATGGTACCAGCCGTACAGTAACCACTAACCACAGTGGCCATTGAGCACTTGAAATACAGTTGGGCAAAACTGAAATGTGTACACACTGGATTTCAATGAATTGGTAAAAAAAATTGTGAAATAACTCATGAATTAATCATTTTTATATTGATTATATGTTGCAGTGATAATATCTTAGATATACTAGGTTAAATAAAACATACTAAAATGAAAAAAAAAAGGGGCGGGGTGTGGGGGAGAAAGGCTAGACAGATTTCTGGGCCCAATCTGATTCCACCTGGGCATTATATTTTTAACTAGCTTCCCAGGTGATCCTGATTATAGCTGGATTTATATAAAACACTACAAAAAAATATGACCTTACTATAATAGGTACGCTCCAGGCCTCACCTCCTATGGGAAGAGTTCATGCATCGGTAACACTTGTTTGTAGACTAAAAGTGCCATCATTATTCCGAAACAATTACATTGGGCTGGACTTTGGAACCCAGAGTAGCAGCAAATTCCCTAGATGCATTTTCTCCTCTCTGCTGCTGGAATTCTAAAGACACGAACAAGGACACAGACTATGTTGCCATGCGACTTCTACATGTTTTGTTTTTGAAACAGCCTTGATAGGAGTCCATCTAACCTACCCTGAGACTTCTCCCTGAAAGAGTCTGGTGCTAGGGCAGGCAGAGGGCAGCTGCTGACCTCAGCATGCTCTACACAGAGCAGTTGCTGAACAGGCAAACATGCTCACTTCTCACCCACAATCACAAAGATCACTACATGTTAGGACTAGGCATGACTTCGGTTCCACACTGAAAGGTGAGAAAACCAAGGTCCATGCAGAAAAGCTGACTCGTCCAGGCCCCAGATGGTCAAGGAAGATTTGGGATTAGATCCAACAAACCAGAGTCCCAGTCCAATGTTCTTTCTACCACGATATAAATTATCTGCCCTCCTTAACATCTTTCGGGGAATAAAACTGGCCCTCAAGTTTGGGGTGGGATTAGGTCTGCATAGCAAAAAGTACGAGAGTTTGGAGTCTGGTAGTGTGACCCTGAGTTACTTAATCTCCCTTTGCCTCAGTTTCCTCATCTGAAAGAAGCTGTTAATAATACCTACAGCACAATATTATTATGAAGACAGAAAAAAATACATAAATGTTAAACATGTTGTCCAGCACATAATGGACCCTTATTAACGATAGCAACTGTGATTACTATACTATAGAGAAGTTCAAGGACAGGAAGTGAGACAGTTCACTATACAAATTCCAAAGTACTTTCTCCATTTCATACTCTGGAGAGCTGAGCCAGGTCCCTATCTCGGAAATGGTGATCTAAGTGACATGAGCATCTCAGTAACTCACAAACACAGATTTTCTAACTTCTTGGGAAAGAGAAGCACAGAGGAAATTTTCCTACTAGAGAGGGTCATTGAGAACTGGCCCTGGGTGTTAAGGGTTTTAAGAGAAATGGTTTAGGAGATAAAAGAAGAAACAGCACCAAACACAGCATCATGAGGTTCCTATTTTGGCCTATTTACAATGCCCCGTCCAACTGACCCCATGCCCATTAGACAGAGGCTACCTTTGTGTGCTCAACCCAGCCAGGCCTGGCTGGTAGAGGGAAGTACAGGATTCCTTCAAGGCCTGGGTCGAGAAAAACAGACTCAATGTAGGTTTCCTCTACAGGAAAAAGAGAAAAGCCGGCCTACATGTTAGTAGTATTAATCAGTCACATGCTTCCGGAAGGGGTTATCAACACTCAAGAGTAAAAACAAAAGACCATTCATTCATCTGACCCCCAAAGGGATATCAAGCATTTGGAGAGGGTGGGAGGACAGGGGAGAAACATCGCCGGGGAGGCAGAGGGAGGTGATAAAAAGGAATAAAAAGCAGGAATACTTAACATGAGAATGGGTGTCTGAGGCAAAGGAAAAAATAAAAATAAAGCAGTCCCAAAAGTGGACATCTACTCCCTCCTCTACTCCACATCCCACAGGATTATAAATCCAGTCCTAGAACATCACAGAACCTCTGAGTTGGAATAAAACTTAATTCTTTATCTAAGTCCAACCTTCTGCCCAACACAATAATTTCACCTACAGCATCCCCAGAGTAATTGCCCAGTGACAATTACCTCCAGCGACAGGCGCTCCATGATCTGCGTTCCAATGTGGGAGACCACTAGTTCTTTTAAAGTTTTCAAGCTCACCAAACACCACTTCCCTTATGGCACGTCCATCCATTCGTCCTAGCTGTAGCCTCCGGAATATCACAAAATAAATGAAACCCTCTTCCTTACACAGCCTTTGGAAAAGACAAAGACAGCTATGAACACTTTGCACTGCCACGGGATGAGGCCAAATGGACAGCTACATAGCTTAAAGGGAAAATAAGGATTCCAGAGCAGGGAATCATAAGTGACACAATCAGGCAACAAAGGGAGACAGACTAAATACTGTCTTCAGAACAGTCTCTGCTGCATACAGCCTCCACCCCCAAACATACTCTGAGTCTTAAACTCTGAGCGAATGACAGAGCCTTTTGTTCCCTTACTTCTTGACTTCAAGAACATCTTTAAAGAAAATACGTTCTAAACATACAAGTTTATTACTGTA